GGAGTGAGCTGGTGTCACTGTGAGACTGCTTTCTAACATCTTCAAATGTTCATGATGACAGAAGAAGGTCCCAAATAATCGCAAAATCATAAATATCTCAAATTTAAGTAAGTCAGGAAGGAAGATGTGGGGGACTACAGGTCATTCTGCAGGAAGATTATGGAGAAAATTCTCCTGGAAATAATTTCCGCACACATGAAGGACAAGAAAGTGATGTGGAATAGTCAGTATGGATTTACTAAAGGCAAATTCTGCCTGACCAACATAATTGCCTTCTACAGTGAAATGACTGGCTGTGAGGGGAAGGGGAGAGCTGGGGATCTTGTCTCTAGTTAGGCTTTCAACATAAAATACATATAGTCAAACTGGGCAGATATGGGCTGGCTGGGTAGTTTAAAAATGGGTACAAATTTGTGGAACCACAGTGCTTAAATAGCAGTGGCTGGTCACTAGCGGCATTTCCCCATGTTCAGTACTGGAGCTGATACTGCTTACAGTCCTTGCGTAGCTACAGCCTGGATGATGGTGGCAAACATTCCCAGCAGCTGACACCAAAATGTGGGGAAATATGTGGATACACTGGCGGGCAAGGCTGCTTCTCAGAAAAATCAAAAAAGGTTGGAGAATTGAGCTCACAGAAATCTCACAAAGTTCAACAAAGACAGATGCAAGTCCAGCACCTGGGACAGAATGCAACAGTACAAGCTTGGCACTATCTAGAAACCTCTTTGCAGATGATGCTATTGTTGCATCTGTAGATAAGGTGAACAAATTGAACATGAATCAACATGTGTCCTATAAGTGGTGAAGGCATGACATATGAGAAAACTGAAAACTGTGTTTGTTCAGCCCCATTAAAGAAGGGAAAGAGGAGAAATCGATGTATTCAAGTACATATGGATGGTTACAGGAAAAATGGAGCCAGAGGCTTCTAGGAAGGTCACAGCAAAGGGTTGAGAAGCAAGGGGCACAAAAGGTAGAAGGACAAATTCAGAGAAATTTGTTTGGATGTAAGGAAGGAAATCCTTTCCAATGACGTTGGTCACATGCTGGAAAAGGGGCAGAGAGGGTGATAGGTAGGATGGATCTTTGTTCTTGGAGGTATCTGAAACCACAGGACACAGCTCCGAGCAACCTGTTCTAACTTTGAAGCCAGGCCACCTATGACTGAGATTTGGATCGTCAGTCCAACCAGATTTCCAGGGATACCTTCAACCCATTTTTTCCCTGATTCCCAGCTTTTTCTCTTCTTCAGTGAAAGCAACAAAGTCTTGCTCCCAAAATGACATTGAGTATACATATATCTGAGGTTTGTTTTGTTGTTGTTTTGTTTTGTTTTCATTCTGGAAGACGGCATTACTCTGTAACCAACATGTATATTAGCATGCATAAGCAATCCATCTCATTTATCTTAGGAGAATGGTTTTAAATGGTTAAAAACAAACAAAACAATATATTGTTTATCTGCATCACTTACGTGTTGTAGAAAAGAAAGTGTGGTTATTTCTGTTAGGTTTTTTGCAGTCAATTTTTCCATTTTATGTGGAAACTTTGAAAGATCAATGATGATTCCAGTATGCTAGTTAAAACCCCCTTTTCTTTCAAAATCCAATAACCAGCATGATTTTAGTAAATGCCTGTGTTAGACTTATTAAAGAACCCCAGAATAAGTTTTGCTAAGTTTGCCTTTTCATTTTCATCTGCTTTTCAGGAGTCTATTGTTTTTGTATGCGAATATCTGGAATGTACTTAAATTTGGTGGACTTGTGATAAAAACATAATTGTGTGACTATGTATCTGTACGCACATGGTAAAGGGAACTTTTAGACACTGTTGGATTGTCTCAGCTCACAGTGTCAGGACGATAACCATAATAATTTATATCACCTGGCTTTTGAGATCCTTGCTTCCTCTTCCCCAGCTTTAGAGGATGGCAATAAAGGAAAGCTGTGGGATTTTGCTGCATATCAGGCTCTGGTCACTGTATCTCCTTACAATGAGGTATTCCTCATGAGAGCTGTGGTCTGGGCTTGTGATTATTTTAGTACCTGAAGTTCAGTATTAACAGAGTTAGAAAACCCAATTAATACCTAATATTTAGGAACAAAAAGAGAAACCAAGAACCTAACAGTTAAACTGAAAAACAGTGCCACAACCGGCACTTTTTAGTTTAGGTTAGTAGCATGGTGAATGGTGGGAGGGGAGGATCTCTTGGGAAAGATAAAGGAGTAAAATTGTTGTTAGACATTAATAAACTCATCAGTTCTTAGAGACAAAATCCATACATGGCTACCAGATATAAATTTTCCTTTATTCAGCTGCTTGGAACATGCATGCCTCTGAGTAAAATTGCTGTTAAAAAATATACATATCAGATCCACATATATACAACTAGTCAGAAACAAGTTTTTATTTTCATGATTTTTATGCTGTGCTGTATACATTCAAATGGGAATGCTAAAGTTACTCCAAACACTACATCTGTTCCAAGTGCCAATGCCCATTTTCATGTTTTATGCTTGTCTTTTAATACGTGGAAGAACCCTACAAATTGATGAAAAGTAAGAAATAGTGACACTAACTCAAAACAAACAAACAAACAAGCTGAAGGAATAAAGACAGAACATTAATGTAATAATTGTGTTTTGTAACTGTATTGTGTTTTAAGGCCACAGTATTCAGCTGGGGATTTTCTAGTCAGAAAGATATAAATACAGGTCGTGAAGGGCAAAGACTGCCAATCTGGTGTTCCCAGAAAATGGTAAATTTATCATGTGCAGCATGTACAAATGCATTTTTGGAGATGAGTCAGACTTACCAAGTAAGCATCTGTAACACCATCTGCACTGTATAGGTGCACAGCTCATTTCAGTTCTTCCCAGGAGTGTCTTTTGGGACACAGTTTCATGTGCATAGTGTCACACAACCTGTGTGTGAGTATGTGAGTACTGCAGATTTGTTCAGATTTTCAGATGTTGTGCAAAGAGATCTGGAACAACTGCTCATGTGCAGCAGCATCATGTCATAAATAATGACCACATTTTTCAAGATTTGCACAGACAAAATTCCTGAGTTTAAAACCAGGTCAGTGTACCTCTTGCTTTGTCTGCTGCTTTTTCTTTTGTTGTTTGCATGGGACTTGTTTGTTTTAATTGGGTGATTCTATGCCTTCAGATGTGTTTGCCAAATTTCTGTAACAGCAGGACACCAACATGAAACTAGCAAGTATCCTCTGGTCTTATGCAGTCAGCTTGAGTGTAATGATACATGCAGGTAGAATAGTGCTCCTATAATGACAAGGTGTTTGCTATGTCCAAGGTGCAACAGCTGCTGTAGTTGCATTTTACTTGCTGTAGTTGCGTTTTCAGTGTGCTTTCAATGCTTTTAATCCAGTAACTATACCTGTGGTCCTACACTGACACAAGAAACAGGAAAGACTACCCATTCCACTAGGTATTCTGATCATTTTGCATTGGTGGGACAGAGGCATCCAACCCCTGTGGATCCACATTAGTTTGGGTCTGCCTCATGTCCTGAAATTATGTTGCTAATCGCAGCACGATCTTGGTTGTTTCAGTTCCCTCTACATCATTTTTAGCTGTCCCCAAATCTAGAAACACAGGTACCAACTAGGGAAATCATGATGTTATTGTATCAGCTTCCAATGAATGAGATAGGACCACATTTGTCTTTACGACCAGCAGCTTTTTAATTTGGCTGCAGTCAGCATTCAGGCATGTATGTGTGCTGCAGTGCTTTCTGCAACAGCGATTGTGACAGCTGCAGACCAGACTACTTTTAACTTTCCCTTTCCATACCAGCCTCTTTGTATTTCATCCTTCAGCTGCATCACTCTGTGCAGGGTAGTCAACATTAAGCCTTCATTTTGCCCTTTTTTTTTTTTTTTTTTTTTTTCTGGCTGTATAGACTTTTAGGTCTGTATCTGCTTTGAAAAAAAAAATTCAAACATTCTACAGATGCTTACTTATAGAAAAACTGTAGCATGAACAATAGTAAGAGGAGAACTGTTTCACTTCCCTCTTCTGTTTCTCACAAAGTTGACTATGAACATTATGTAAGATGTGGTAACAGTTAAAGACTCACCAAAAGGTCTTTTGTTAAAACTGGCTATTATATTAGCTGGTAGAATTAAAAATACACAACAGACAATCAGGTATATCAATATGTCTCAATGCTGCATGCATCCATCCCCATTTAACTTAGTAGTGAACCAGAATTATAGGAGAAAACTAAGATTTTGACCCTGTCTGATACTACTTTAAGGAACTACTTTCTCACCTTCTTTGGCTCTCTCCCCTCCACTTCTCTTTGACTGGCACAAAACGAAGCAAGATAAATTAAGAAACTGTGTTTTTACTTATCCTTACCCAGAAACATTTCCCTATGTTAATCAATAGCCGTGGCAGACGACTGCGAACCGGCACTCGTTTTTAAGCTGGTCTTTAAAATTCGTCTTCTTATAAGAGACCCATACTATCTTCTCTCACTACCTCCCGAGTGCAGGTGCACAGACCAAGCCCGCTCCCCCACCGCTCCGGGAAGGGGGGCTCGGCTGAGTCCGCGGCTCTCCCGCCGCCGGAGCTGCCGTGCGTGACTCCCTTCTCCCTCTGGAGGGAGACACAGTCCAGCTTTTTGTCTGCCGCCGGCGTCACCGCAATCCTCCTGCCGCTGCCCCTGTTCCAGCCGCCGCGGCTCTCTCCCCCGGCACAGCTGCCCGGCCCGGCCCGGCGCCCCCTCCCCGCCCCGCCTTCCGCTGCAGTGACACAGGGGGCCCGGGGCGGCGGCAGGGCCGCCGGGGGGGCGCGGGCATCTCCCCCTCCCTGGCCACGTACGCCTGTGCGGAAACTTGGCACCGCCAGCCCGCCGCTCGGAGGGGACGGGAGGGACGGGAGAGCGGCGCCTCGGGGCAGGCGGGGGACGCGGGGGGGTGGGCGCTGCCGACAAAACTCCGCTCCTCGGTTACACAGAGCGGTGGCCACGGGGACCTAGTGCCTCGTAAAGGGCTAGGGAGGAGAGCACCGAGTGGCCGGATAAATACGGGGGAGGAGAGGGGCGTCTCCCCCTCTTCCCACCCCTCCCATCTCCCCCGCCGCGCAGGGCGCGCTTGGAGCTCCCTCTGCTTGTTCGGGCGCCCGGAGCGGCTCCGCGCCCTGGTGCGGTGAGCGCAGGCTGGGCACAGGAGGCTGCTGCTGAAGGTGAAGCTCTCGCTCTCCAAGTACTTTTCCCAAGAGGGAGAAGGAGGCTGCAGGAGGGGGAAGTCGTGCTGTGTGTGGACCGCAACACCAATCAGAGATGCTCTAACGGAGGAACTGCTGCAGGACGCGCCGGCTTCTCCTCCTTCCTATGCCGGTGGGGCTCAATCGGGACCGCGCGCAGCTGGCGAAGGAGCCAGAGGCACACCGGGCTGCAGGACTTCCTCATCCTCCACTTTTTGAATAGCTCAACCATACTTCGTCCTCTTTTATTTTTTATTTTTAATTTTTTTTATATATACTCTGAAATCGCGCACGAGAAACACTTCAAGTCTTCCCTCTCTTGTCAGTTCCTTCACCCTTCCTCTAGCATCTCTTAGCCAGATTTCTGGTGTATTGCCGGGGGGGGAGGTGGGGGTAGACCCGGGCCCCGCGGACGGCCGCTGCCCCAGCCCGGCCGAGCCGAGGGGAGCGGAGCCGAGCGGAGCAGGCACGGTGCCGCTCCGTGCCCCCGGGCGCTGGCGGGGCGCGGGGCGTGTGCCGGAGATGCCCGAGTGGTAAAGCTGGAGCTCCCCCCGGACTGGAGGCGGCCGATCATTAGGCATTTCTAGCAAGAATCGGGACAGCAGGTAGGTGAGCGGAGCGCTCCGGGGGCGTGTATCTGGCCGAGCTCTGGTGGGGACGCTGGGACGTCGCCTCCGCGGTTGGTGGAGACCCCGCGGGGCTTCGGGCGCCAGCGGCCGCGGGGGGCCGGGCGTGGGGTATGCGGGGGGGGTCTGCTGCGGAGGTGCGTCCTGCAGGTGCCCTAAAGTTGGAGAAAGCCGGGAGTGAGGAGGAGCTGCTTTGCCGTCCTTCTGCTGGGCGCCTAGGACAGCCAGCTACAGCCTTGCGCCGGGCGATACTCATGGCTTTTGTTTTCCTTTCTCATTTTCTTTGATTTTATTCAAAAGAACAGTTCAGCAGAGCCTGAGGGGGGGGGGATGTTGGCAGATGGAGCAGGGGAACTCTTCCATTTTTCAACTTTTATAGGAAGGGTGGCCGCTAACTCGCAGGACCTTCGGGGACTTGGGGGTGGTTACTCTGCCCGGACGCCTTACAGGCCGCCTTCAGAGAGCGGCTGAAAGAGCGAGGAGTACCTTTATGAATCGTCTAGAAAAAAAAAAAAAAAAAGAAGCTATAAAGAGACAATCTATGGCTTCGTTTCTTTCTGCCTGTAGTGCTCCCCGACTTGTGGATAGCGTATCTTGTCTCTCCACGCTGCTTTCTTTGCATTTCAGTGGACTTATTTACCAACTAATATGTTTCAGGTTCTATACACCACAATGAGAGGGGCTTTTCCCTTATTCCTTCCAATTTATAGCTTTGCAAGAGAAAGTTTGAAAATAACTTGCTTTGTTCCTATGGAGCCGGAGGATTGGACACCAGGTTATTAATGCAAAGAATAAAGACCAAGAGCTTGCACTGCCCTATTAGGAGTTTCCATGCATGGCTCTTCTGTATGTTTCTTACCGGGAGTTAAAATCATTGTTTAAAGGATTTTAAAATGTATATGTAGTTACAGTTCCCTCTTTCCAGCTTTTGCTTAGAGATGATTAGTATTTTCTTTTAAAGCACTAAGTACTTCACTTCTACCAACCTTCCTCCTCCCCCCAGTAGACACTTGCTCAGTATTTACAGAATCGTGCTTCGACTCCTACAGAATTGTCAATTTAAATAATAAACATACTCAACCCCTATCTCTGAAAACCCTGTAAAGCATTCGGGGTCATAGGGTCTTCGCACCACAGTGGATACATTTAAATTGGTATTGACTAAATGATAATTGTTATCTGGTTTCTGTGTCTTACCAACTAGTTTCAGATTTTAGCATTCAGCCTACTATATATTTAACACTTTAGAGCTACTTATGGGCTAATTGAAGTCAAATTGATAAATTAAGATTCTTTTCTGTAGTGTACGACAAACACTAGAAAAATAGTAGTTCAATGGTACTAGGAGTATAGCTTAGCTGAAGTTGGGAAAGATCATACTAAGGTATTTTTATCAGAGGTGGCAAAGGTTACAGGTTTCATTATGCTTTTTCACAGTAATTGTGCAGTCATCTCGTACTGATGCCTAAATTGTTTTGTAAGTGTATAATGAACAGTAGTAATTAATATAAATTTAATTGTTAATTTTTTATTTCAGAGAGCTGATACTGCAGTATTGGAAATCATGTGGTTTTTGTTTCATGTAGTTCCACTTTCCAAAACTACAGTACTGTTATTCTTATAAATATTCTTATAAATATAAACTACCTAAGTGCCATAATTTCAGTGGAAGGCTTTGCTCAGTTAGTTGATAGCAAATCAGATTTATTCTTCACTGGTTCCACATTGGTTTTTTGTACATAGTGGGCTTTCAAAATTGTGGTATTAATTTTAGATATACTGCTGATAGTGGGTGACTTTGAGATAAAATCCTATCTTACTGTTTTAATCAGAGAATGACAACTAATCTGGCAGTTTCTTTTATTGTACTGGACACATGGGATAACCTTTTTACCTGGCTCTTCTTATGATCCAAGGGATCTCAGATTTATGTGTAGATGCTTGTAATGCACTTGATAGTTCTGGTGGGGAATGCATGAAAAACTTGTTCTGAATGGATGTAAATAGACGTGTGTACAGACAGATATTGGAGATTGTTTTACTGGCAGGTTGCAAAGTGATGATTCATTGAACTCTCTCTAGGTTTACATAAAGCAAATAATACTTTACATTGAATTGTGGTGGCAGAGAAAAATGTAGCAACCAAGAAGTTTCATAATTTCATTACAGGTGATGACAGACTCGATAAAAGACATCTTTACAAATGCAGGCAGTATGTATTTGGTAAGCAAAATATAACCATGGAGTTTTTGAGATCTGAGCATCTTCACACTTAAATTTATTGCTGTGTTGTTACTTACCAACCAATATTAAGCCTAAATATTGTACTAGAAAGATGCTGCATTTATTATGTTGTATGTTTTACTTACTATAAATAAGTAATGCAACAGTGCTAACTAGTTATCAGACTAAAGGAAATCACTGACTTTGGAAGACAGAAAATCATATTCATCTATACACAGAAATGTGATCACCATCTTGAAAAATTGTTCTGGACACAACTATCAGTGAGCAAGCAGTTCTATTTCCCTGTTTTAACTTCTGCTGGATTTTATTAGAAATGCTTCATTAAGTCACATTATTCTACAGCTGTTTGTTCACTGAAAATTAAAATAAAAATTCGGAAATTTATCCAGCAAAGCAGTAATATTTTCTTTGTTAAGTACTGAAAGTTCAAATAATAATAAAAAAATCCTTTGGCATCAGTGTGCCAGAAGCACTGAGTACATCCTATTTTAGTGATAAATGGATGGCATTTACAGATGCAATTCATCAGTGTATTTGTTAGTCAAACGTCATCAAACAAAGAAGATGAATTACAGCAAACAAAGTCTGCATGGTAGTACAGAGGGTAAAGCAAGGGAAGACCCTACAAATCTAATTAATTATTGTTCAGTCTCATATTTACAGTCTATATTTAAACATCTTATTTAAATGTCTTTCATCGTTTTTCTCCTGCAGCTCCAGGTAATTCAGGTAACAATAGCTTTTCACTGGAAAATGCATTTTTCATTTGCCTTTTGAAATGCTGACTTTTAAAACCATTGAGGCAAAAGTTGTGTTAGGATGAATATAGTAGGCGGGTCCTATGCCAGAAGAACTGAATACTGACCTGTCCCTGTTTGTGACCATTTTTATATGTTAAGAGGGGCATCCCCAACTGATGTAGGCTTTCATTGCTCCCTAGGAGTAGTTGAAGCTCTGACATTTTAAACCAGCTGGAGTATTTGCTCCATTATCTTTAGATCACTGAATTTAAGAGTGAGCTTTAAAAGGGTTTTGCTTGCCTTTTTTTTTTTTTTTTTTTCCCCTTTTCCATGAGAAAACATTTGCATGGTATATTGAGCTTCACAGAATCCATTGTAAGTGCACACTTTCACGTTTGAAATACTTTTTAAAAACACAAGCTCACTCTGGGAGGTATTTCGATAGGAAATGTAGCCCTGTGATTTGGTTTTGTAAGCTGTTAATATTTACTTTAAAACACTTCTCATGACTCGATTCAGGTGTCTAAAGCTCATCAGGCATAGGAGTGAATGTGAAAACTTCATTAGTAATGTTGTTCATTTTTCCTGGTGACAGCTACAGAGCTATCTCCTTTTGCTTTTGGTAGAACTTGGGAAGATAGTAGATTTTGTGCTTTGCCTCTTTATGCACCCTTGCCAGCCACTTGTTTGCCATATGTAGTGAGTTCCTTATCAAAAGAGAAGACAAAATAATAATGTCCACCAGATGTACTTTTTCATACTACTAGTGCAGAGCAGTCACATTTTTAAGATAAACAATGGAAGGCGTTTTTATATAGCTTCTTTCATGCCATATGTTTTGAAAAACACTTTGGAGAGAGAAGAGAGAAAATAAAGATATTGTGCTTTACAGTACTGGTTATGGCAGGACATTACATCCTTGGCTTTTTTCAGTGACTTCATCTCATTTTATCTTTCTTAGCTTTTCCATTTGTTTGGATATGTCAGTACAGTGATTTCTAGAATGCACTGTAGCTGTAGCTGTTGCTTGAAGTAGCACTATAAAAAGCTTTGTATGGATTTGATTCTTAGTCCTTAAATAAACACTTACAGGAGTAGCTCCTGTATCCTTTGTGGTATGGAAGAACTGTTTATATAATTGCATGGGTAAAAAGTTGGAAAATTTTTTTTTTTCCTCCAAAGCTTATCAAACCTCATAATCTGTGCTATGTTAATAGCTTGCATTTTCTAGTTGCCTCACTTCACATCTTGCTGATCTTGTAATATGAAACTTGAACACAGGTCTCTCGGTACCAGGACAGCATTGTATACAGCTGCCTCAACTGTGAGCATCCCTTTAACAATGCCAAGGGGAGAGCCACAGTGCAGGGTGGTACACAGGTGAAAGCACACATAGCTTTTTTTTTTTGACTCCTGGGTATATCTTCTATGCCTATATCATGAATTTGAGTAACGCTGCAAAAGGTGCTTTAGATTGACAAACTTCACAAGTAAATAAATGAACAATCACAGTTCAACAAACCCAACTGGCTGTATAAATAGCAAAATATTAAGAAATGCAACAGTAAGTATCAAAGTATTTTAAAGTATTTAAGTATCAAGTATTTTAAAATAGATAACCAAATTTTTATCCTTGGTTGTATGATGGCCTCTCTCTCTTTGAAATATTTATGGCCGCCTCTGTGCTATATAAGATTCAGTATTTGAAGATGAGATATTGAACTAGATGGACCACTGGCTTGATCCAATAAAGCAATTTCCTTGTTGAAACACAAGGAACTGGTATTGCAGTACTGTGTATTTTAAATGCCTTACTAGAACCAAACTGCAATTACTTGGTTTTGCTTTATTTTTTCACTTTTAAAAGCAGTATATAATACATTTCTAAAATAAAGCTGTCAGTAACATGCAGTCTCACACCAACTCTTTTAGAGACAGGAGCACAGACCTGACAAGTCTCTCACACTTGCAGTGATACTCTTATGTTGGATT